CCCCAAAACCCCAAAACCCCAAAACCCCAAAACCCCTCCTCCACCCAACCCCTTGAAAAATCTTAAACCAGTCAACCTTCTAAGCACACTTGAATATTTTCTGAAGACTCTTCCTGTCAGCTTCCCCTACTGACAAGAAGAACATTGTCTTTGTCCCTTTGGCACCTACACAGATAAGTAATAGTGCACTTACTGGTATACTTTATGGTCACGTTGTTAAGATATTTTGGAGCTGATGTACTTGCGTGGCGTTTGGAGGGTCTGGATCTACCAGTAGACTTGGAGGGGAGACGAGTGGTAGTGGGCTTTGAGGGTTTTTGGCAGATATCTAGGAGAATTTAGTTTATAGCACTTTTTTTGTACATTTAGGATTTTTTTGCAATGAATTAGTCCACTTATTTGTTAAAGAATGTTCGAGGTTTGGTGAAAATGATCTTCTTCTTATTTAAGTGTGTTTTAATTTCAGGGAGACACATTTAATGTAATTTTACCGAGAAATTTTCAGAAGAAAATGAACATCTCATGAAAATAAGTTGAAGTCAACTCAAACTCCAAAGGACATAACATACCTTTTACCAATTTTTCCCTCTTGCTAATGCCTGCCTCACTAACAGCTTTTTCAGTCACTACTAAATAAAGATCTGTGCATCAATTTTTGATAGCTTCACATATGAAAGAAGCGTTCTTTGCATTAAATAAAACCTTCAGGCTGAACTTTAAGGGCTTCTGAACTTTAGCGAGTGATAGTATGAAACCTCTCCCTAGAGTAGAGCTATTATCAACTTTAAATTCTAAGATATCTCAACGAAGTGGTTTTAATTTTTCCAAAACAGTAGGACTCTTGATTTTCTTGACTGTTCTATACTTCAAAAGAACAGATTCTGCAAAAATATCATCCATATCGTCACCAAACATTGAGCACCAATTAAGCATTTCATGAGTGTTCATGGGATGTTTCTCGATATATTCCTTAAAATCCTCCAAATATATTTCATCTTTCTGTGATATTCCGATAAATTCAAGGTCAAGATAGGTGTACACATCAAGGTACTTCTCTCCCTTCCATTTCACTGGCTTTGCATTGAAGTCTACAGAAGGTAAAGAGAAGTAAATTGTAGGGTCTTTATCATTAGCGAACTTAGAGAGGTCAAAATAAAATCTTACCTCCAACTTTGGAATAGTAACTAACTTCATCAGCATGGAAGCAGCAATAGTATTTACGCTTAGGATCATGAAAGAATACGTCAACGTCTCCTAAAGTCAAGATCTTGCTTGCTTCCGGTCTAGAACTGAGAAGAGAGACACCATTTCTGATCTTTTCCTTGAGAGTTGCTGTTGGGTGAACCTAAAGTTAGGTGAAATTGTTAATTTTAGATACATATAGTTAAACTTGAATCAAATTAAGTAGATGCCCCACTTGTTTTAGGAAACTTGGGCTTGTACTACTCTCACAAGCCCCACTTTGGAGAATATGAGCAAGCAGATTTATTAATATAGATAAAAGTACTATATAGGCAAAAAGCTTGAGAAAGAACAAATGATAAAATTTGAGCAAGATCATTCTCAAAATCTCTTGATTTTTCCTACCTCGTCCTTAACCTCTGGTATCATTAATTCTAAGGCTTCAAGTTGAGGAAAGAAGACTGAAAGGCATTCTTTAGATAAAGTCAGTTTATTTCTTTAAAGAATCATCTTGTTCTTCAGTCTCTTTAAAATAACCATCTGAAAACCAATTGATCTTTAAAGTTGTCACATTTTGAGAGAGGCTTGCTGGCACTTCCTTTGATTGATCGTATAAAAGTCTGAATAGATCCGCGCTTTTGACATATAAAACTGAACACTCAGTAGTGATGTTTGAAATATCAACAAGTTCAGAGCTTTGTGTAAGGTCTAAAGTGTGCACTCTTTCAAATCAGTTCGCAAGCTCTACATTGTGAAGCATCTTAGTAAACTTTATCTTCTCTTTGAAGTCCCTTGGATCAACCCCTTTAGCCCATTCAATCTGCACACAGTTAGGGTCAATAGTAGAACTCTTTAGACTATCATAAGGTAAGTTATAAATACTTTCATCCTTAACTGTCCCAACAATTTTCACCAGTACTTCATAAAATACCAGACCACAAGAGTAGTTACAACTCTCTACAAATTCACAAAAACTCAATACATCCCGCTCCTTTACCAAAGTGACCAAAACTACAGTCTCTCCTCCAATCTGACACTGAGAATAACTCCCAATCTTCTCCAAAACCTTCACATGTCCCTTTCCAAACCCAGGATCAAGCTCAAGCTTAACAAATTCCCCAGACTTTCCCTTCTCCAATCTATTCCTGAACGCTGCTAAATTATCCTGAAATCATCTCCTTGTCTTCATCGACAGCCCCATCATAAGTCCTTTGCACTGACTGAAAGTTCCGTAGTAACGCAAAATGGAAGAACAGTGGCTGAACTTGGAGAGCAAACTTTGGAGGCCGTCTGTGGACTCTTGGTGGGGGATGATTGTTTCCATTAAAATATATATTGTTTAGAAGAATTAGGGGTTTTGGGGTTTTGGGGTTTTGGGGGTTTGGGG